TGGAGGGTCAGAGAAAAAGAGGAAGACCCCCAACGAGATGGATTGGCCAAGTGGCAGCATCCATGGACTCAAGTGTGGCAACAGTAGTGAGGTTGGCCCAGGATTGGGCAGTGTTTTATTCTGCTGTGCATAAGGTCACTATGGGTCAGTACCGACTCGATGGCACCTTCAACAGTGACAACAATAAGACTCTAATAAGAAAGGCCATATAAAAGGAATCCATTGCACTGTAGGTCATCTCTGGCTTTTCTGGTTGTGATTGCTCCATCCATGGAGACTAACTTCTCTCTACCAATCATTTTACCAGTCTCGAACTGTTACTAACAATTAGTTCTTCAGGAGGACATAGTGTTCTCAGGGGTAAGGTTACTCAGGGACCGGTCATTCAGGTCTGCGGCATCTTGTTATCATCCTTTTTGACCTTTGATAAAATTGAGCTGAGGGAATTTTATCTCCTTGATCTGAGCCTCAGGCAGTATACATACAGCAAATCCTTCAAGGGATCTTAGACTCAGCCACTTGGACTCAGTTCCTTGGAAACCCTGATGGACAGGGTCACTCAGAGCCAGGACTGTGTTCGAGTCCAGCAGTGCTTTCCCTTACTCCACTTTTTCATAGTTACTGCTTCTACAATGACAGTGTCTGATTCAATCACAATTAATCCTGTTAACAATCAACACTCACAACTGAATCACAGCATCTTATCAACATCTCCTTTACCTCCACTTCCCCAGACCCATTAGGAAACTAGGAAACTGTTCAGTGGGGAAGGAGCCCTGATAGCACAGTGGGTTTTTAGTTGAACTTCTATCGTAAGGTCAGGAGTTCAAATCTACCAGCTGCTCTGAGGGAGAAAAATTAGATTTTCTGCTCCTGTAAGGATTTACAGCCTTGGAAAGCCTATACAGGGTCACTGAGTTGGAACCAACTCAACACCACACCACACCACCACCACCACCACCACCATTCAGTGAGGATTCTTCCCTTGTTCCCGTAATTTTGAGTGTAAGCCCACCCACAGAAGCATGCAGGTCAGCTACTACATTCTTTTATCTCCCCCTGTTTTAGATTGTTGTTGTTAAGCATCGTTGAGTCAGTTCCGACCCATAGCAACCCTGTATAGGGTTTCCGAGGAGCGGCTGGTGAGCAGAACCACCAACCTTGCAGTTCAAACTGACTTTGCAGTCCAGCACATTAGCCCACAGCGACACACCAGAACTCCCTGTTTTAGAGAGCCAGTGTTTAAACTGTCCTTCCCTACCAAACCAGTACTTTGAGGAGAAAAGGCTGTTCTACATTTTTCTCCCTCTGATGTGGCACTGTGGGTTAATGCGCTGCACTGTAAAGTCAGTTTGAACAGCAAACCTGGTGGTTCAAGCTCACCATCTGCTTCTTGGAAACCTATACAGGGTCATTATGGGTCAGAACCGACTCAATATCAGTTAACAACAACATCCAGGAAAGAATCCTAGAGCAGCTCATAAAAAGCAAAAGTTACTTACATAGGAGAGCTAATAGGACTAAACTCTGATTTCTCAGCAGAAACCATGCAGGCAAGAAGGCAATGGAATGACATAGAAAATTCTGAAAGAAACCAACTGACAACAAAGAATTGTATATCCAGCAAAGCTGTCCAGCAAATATAAAGGCAAAATTAGGTCATTTTCAGACAAATAGAAATTAAAAGACTTTGTAAATACCAGACTAACCTTCCAAAAAATACTAGAGGGAGTTTTTTGCACAGAGAACCCACAACAGACAACAACCTCAGAGTAGCGTGCATGGTAATATCACCTAGTCTCAACCCAGATATAGAAAAGTGCAAAGCAGAGCAGCGCTATAATACCAAAACAGAAAGCCAGAGACAATTACAACAGCAACAAAAAACCATGAAGTAAAAAGATGGAATAACATATTTGCAGAACTCCTGAATAAAGAGGAAATCAATTCAATTTCAAGAAAAATAAAATGAACAACAAAAAATAATAAATCTAACATCAATCCTATAAACTACACCAAGTCTTACTTCCATCTCTAGCCCAACACTTACCCTCAACACTTAACTCTAATAATAAATGAAGTTCTGGGTCAGGGGACTGGTAACTGCGCTAATAGCAAGGTGGATAGTTCAAACCCACCAGTCACTCTGGGAAACCCTGTACAGTATTGCTATGAGTTGTACCAACTTGACCACACATAACAACAGGCCTAGACTAGACCTAGCTGTTATCCCAACCTTAATCCTCACTTCTACCCACTCCCCAGCCCCTCAAAAAAAAAAAAAAAACCCACCTCTATGGAACATAGTTTCATTTTGGCACATAGGGTCACCGTGACTTGTAATCATTGGATGGTAAAAAATAAATAAGTGAAAGACCACAGAAACTGTAACATAATAAATTTATGTTGTTTTAAGCCATTGACTTTGTGATAATTTGTTGCAACAACAGTAGGAAATCAATTGTGGTATTGAATCAGAAGCCAAACAACAACCCACTGCCTTCAATTCTGACTCACAGCAACCCTGTTGTTCTGATTCATAGTGACCCTGTATAGGGTTTCCAGGGAGCTACTGGTGGGTTTGAACTGCTGACCTTGTGGTTCATAGTCCAGTGCTGATCCTACAGAGCCACAACCAGTGTAAAATTGTCCCATTGGGCTTCATCTTTACAGAAGCAGAATGCCACATCTTTTCCCCACAGAGCTGCTGGTGGGTTCAAACCGTTGACCTTTTGGTTATCAGCAGAGTGCTTAACCATTTCATCACTAGGGTTTCTTTCAATCAGGAGAGCTAACTTCATACTCCTCAAACCAATGGCTTTTTGGTTTCTTCATTGTGGATTATGTGTTGGGCTGCTAACCATATGGTCTGCCCTCCCCTTCATCCTCCACAACCAAATTGAACAAAATTTCATCAATCCTCCTTAAATTTGTTTTCTTTTCCTTCTCTGCTATAGTAGTTCAGGAGGGCAGCATGCCATAGAAAGACTATGAGCTTTGGACACGGAAAGACGTGTCTACCACAGAGCAGTTGGGAAACCTCGCTTGAGTTAATTGCCACAAAACTTAGTTCCTTATTTATAAGGTGGCTGTGCCCTCTCCCCTTTGCACTTTGTGGCAAGATTGGGGTTGTCAAACATAGGCAATTGGGGGTTTCTCTATTAGAGATGTAATCTGGGTGTGGTGCTATAGGATAAAGCACTGGACCACAAGGTCGGTTTGAACCTCAAGGTCAGCGGTTCAAACTCATCAGTTGCTCTTTGGAAATGCTATTCAGGATTGCTTTGAGTCAGAACTGACTCTATGGGCACTTAACATCAAGAAGAACTATTAGAGAAAGCTAGTTGACAGGCCACTGGCACCGGGATTGAGGCAGGAGTGCTCTGAGACATTTCCTGTCTCCTGTAGCCCCCTCCTCCAAAGTCCTCCCCAAATCATTGCTAGATTCTGTATTGAAACAGTTCCCATCTCCTCTCCAGCTGTCCTTGGCATGAGCACTTATAAATCTTTAGAGACGTTTTCCTGAAGCCACATCCCACCCCACAGCCTCAGAACAAGTTAAAACCCTTTCATTTGGCATGCACAGTTTTTTGTTTTGTTTTGTTTTATAATCTGGATCACTCAGGGAGGGGTTGATTTGTGTTTCTCAAAATATGTGTTAGGACCCTAACCTCTATTGTTATGGATCTAATTCCATTTAATTTCTTCAGAGCCTGGTGCAATGCTCTACATACTGTTGTTGTTGTTGTTGTTAAGTGCCGTCGAGTCGGTTCTGAACCATAGCAACCCTGTACAGGGTTTACTAGGCTGTAAATCTTTACGGGAGCAGAACACCTCATCTTACTCCTGCGGAACAGCTGGTAGCTTCGAACTGCTGACCTTTCGATTTGCAGCCATATTCATAACCACTACGCTACCAGAGCTCCTTGCTCTACATATAGTAGGAGCCAATTGCTTTGGGTTGAATGAATTCATAAAGTTTCCTCTCATTTGCCTGCACAAAACACCTCCCCTCAAACCCAGGGGAGATTCTCTCCACCTCTTGCCCTGGCCCTTGAGGTCCCAGCCCCACTCACCTGGGAGGCTGAAAAAGAGCAGAGTTGGGGGCAACCACATGGTCCAACCTCCCCCACTCCTGCTCCTCTGTCTATGGTCAACACAAAGTGGGATCCTGCTGGACTCTCGAAGCTCTTGCCTGGTCCCAGAAGATTTTACCTTCTGTGTGTCTAGAGAGTCTTTGAGTTTTGTGTGCATTCACCTCCTTTTATAGACTATGCGTTTCCCGTTTTTCAGTTATTTAGTAAAAGTGTGTCATTGTTTGGCAGGGTTGGGTCACAAGGCATGGTAGTCCTCACTAGATAGGAAAGAGGAAGTGAGAGAGTGTAGCAGGATGAACACGAGCAGGGGCACAGATGGGGCAGAGAAGTGGCTTCTGGGCTGTCGAATCTTAGGCATCAGCCTGGGTGCCAACTCTAGAAATGGTTCTCTATCAGAGTGAAGGACCAGCAGCTGGAAGCAGCCATTCAGAGGGGTCAGGTGGATCATTCTCAGCATACCTGGAGAGGTTTCTGCTCAAGAACATAAAAAATACAGTGTGTGGAGTCAGACAGACCTGGGTCCTAACCCCACAAGTACCACTTAGAAACTGTGTGACCCTGAACAAATACCTAACCTCTGTATTTGCATCTGAAAATGAGTTCCCAGCAGTTGTTATGAGAATTAAATGAGAAAAGATATCGGGAATTCTGAGGATAGAATCCTTGGAGGGAGTTAGCACTTGCTGTAAGGTAAGCATTGGACTGGTAACCATGAGGTTGGCGGTTCAAACCCATAAGCCACTTTCAGAAAGGGTCACCATGAGTCAGAACAGACTCGATGGCACTAAACAACAGCAAAAACACGTTAGATGTAATGGTTAGTATCCAGGGAAATGTTCATCCATAGAGGACGAGTAGGATGAATGAGCCCCCGGCACCTTTAAGGGTAGTGAGTGTCCTGTATAATAATAGTACATACAGGACAGAATGCCCCGGGGCTCTCTAATACCAAGCGCAAACTCTAATGTAGGAAATGACGTTATAACAATAAAACGTATTGCTGTGGTTGTTGATAAGTGCTGTCTAGTAAATTCCAACTCACAGCAACCCTGTATAGGGTTTCCAAGGAGCAGTTAGTGGGTTTGAACTGTCACCATTGCGGTTAACAGTCCAATGCTTATCCTACAGCACCAAACCAGGACTCCAATACCTTATGTGTATAAGTTCATCAATTACAGCAAATGCAAAATGGAGAAGAATATTAAAAGTACCAAGAACTGTCAGGAGAACAAATGTATCTATGTTGGGAGAAGTACAGCCAGAATGTTCCTTAGAAGCCAGAACAGTGAGACTTTGTCTCTCATACTTCAGGCATGTCAGGAGCAAGCTAATCCCTGGACAAGGACATCATGCTTGGTAAAGTGGAGGGTCAGCAAAAAAGTGGAAGAGCCCCAACAAGATGGATTGGCTCAGTGACAGCAACAGTGGGCTCACATTTGGAAATATGTTTGAGATGGTTCAGGACTGGGAAGTGTTTCATTCTGCTGTGCAAACATATGGTCATTATGAGTCAGAACTGACTCGACAGAACCTAACAACAACACAAGATATTAATACTAGGAGAAAGCTTATGCAGAGAAGAGATATGATACATAGCAACTCTCTCTACTTTGTGTGCATTTTTTTCTATAAATTTCAAACTGAGTTTTAAAAATAGCATATTGAAAATAAATTCTCTCTCCCACATACACACAAAATAAACTCAGAGCTGGGGGCTGAGAGGAGGTTGGTGAGCTATGTTTTCCCATTAGTAGTAAGATACATTCTAACTGTAATCTAACAGAATTGAATTAGGATTCTGATTTATAACTCAACAGTTAAAATGTTCCCTTCTTCTACCCTCCCTTACTTGGAAGCATTTCTCATGGTTAAACATAGCAGAAATACAGAAAACCACGTGGAAGAAATTCATTTTACGGGATTATTATTATATGATAAAAACCTTGTGATCATGTCAGCAGTGAGAATTTTGCCAACCAGCCCACACCATTCTTACACACAAATTATCCCTGTGGCACTGGACCACAAGGTCAGTTTGAACCACAAGGTCATTGGTTCAAACTCACCAGCTGCTCCTTGGGAACCCTCTACAGAGTTGTTATGAGTCGGAACACTAGCCTGGATTTTATAGTAATCACTTGCTTATTTTGTTTTGGGTTTCATCACCCAAGAGCATGGTTTAGTTTTGTCTTTAAACATCTTTTAAGTCTTTACTCTTTGTAGTTCCCTTGCAGTTTATTTCTTGGCAAATCCAGATATTGTCTCGTACCTCTCCTCAGTCTGAAATTCACCGCTTGCATCTCCATGGTATTTAGCTTATGTGTTTTGGATTTCTATACAGTGAACTTGATTCAGAGACTCAGCCAGGTTGAGGTTTGTCTGGCTCTGTTCTGGTTTTGCAAGAATACTTACTTCCTCAAGAGCCACATTGTTTTCTGTTGTTTTCTTTTTGTGAAGTTAGCAACCATGATTGCACACTGCCCAGATCCTACATCCATGTTGTTGTCGTTAGCTGCAATCGGAGTCAGCCCTGACTCACAACCACCCCACGCACAATTGGATTGGATCCTTGTGATCTGTTGCGTTTTCAGTGGTTGGTTTTTGGAACTACACTGTCAACCTCCCCACCCCCCCTTTTTTTTATTGCTACAAAGTCAAAGAAATTTAGATAAAACAAAAATGTCAAAATGTGGTTTGATATTGTTTTTCAGCATACCCTCCACCTATAAGTCTGTACACTTCTTTCTCTTTCTTTCTTTAAAGGTTTTCTTGTGGAGATTTGGTGAAGATTTGCAGAGAAAATGGGTTTTCCAAGCAGGACTTCATACACATTTTGGTTTTCATCTCATTGGTTGCAGTTTCCACAATGGAACGTCATTTGTCCCACTTCTTTTCCTGTCTTTTCCATTTCTGTTCCTCCTTCTTTCCTAACCCTTCTGAACTTTGTCCTTGGATTGTCCTTTTGATCTCAAAGGGTAGATTATTCTAAGAAATGCAGACTTCACTAGTCTTATTATTTCCCTTATAGATCTCTCTGTTGTTTGACCGAAATTTGAACCAGGGGGTTGATTTTATTTCCAGATCTGAAAGGTGACTAAGGGTGATAGTCTTAGGGTTGAAACAGTCTGTCCAACCAGAAAGCTTGGTCTGTGATTTTGAGTTTTGGTCTACATTTTCTCCCACTCTACTCTGTGGTCCCTCTCAGAGCAGTTGGTAGTGGTAGCCAGACTCCATCTATTTATTCTGGTTTCAACATTGTAGAGGCTGAAGCTCTCATAGTCCATTAGTCTATTGGACTAATTGTTTCCATTCATCTTTAATTCTCTTCACTTTTCATTCCTGCAGACACAGAGAAATCAACAAACTCTCATTTTTTATGACCCCAGCTGCTACTCACCAAAGTAGAATGTAAAACATTGTCTTTGTGGACAATGTTATGCCACTTGACATTGGTGTCCCCCTAGACCATGGTCCTGAGCTTCCAGGTCCTACGACTCATTCCCTCAAGATAACTGGTTATGTCTAAGAAGATTGTCATAACTTTGTCCACTGTATATTACACCACAGTCATGGATGTATAAGGGGGCTTCAAAAAGTTCATGGAAAAATTCCTTTGTCTTTTAGTTCAATTTGCCCAGGAACTTTTTGAAGCCCCCTCATATTTGTAGTATAGAGAAATATACACATAGAAATATCCTTTGTTGAACTTGTATGTATTTGTGGGTTTAATCCCACTCTTCCTTCCATATCTGTTCAGCCTGCATATCTATCCATGCATCCACTCATGTTGTTAGGTGCTGTCAAGTTGGTTCTGACCCATAGCAACCCTACAACAGAACCATACAACAGAACAAGACACTGCCTAGTCCTGTGCCATCCTCAAAATTGCTGCTACACTTGAAACCATTGTTGTTGTCACTTTGCCTATCCATCTCATTGGGAGTTTCTCTCTTTTTAACTGACCCGCCACTTTATCAAGCATGATGACCTTCTCCAGCGACTGGTCCCTCTTGATAATACATCTAAGGTATGAGAGATGAAGGAGCTTCTAAGGAGCATTCTGGTTGTATTTCTCTCTGGAGAAGGGCATCATGCTTGGAAAAGTGGATAGTCAGTGAAAAAAGGAAGACTCCCAATGAGGTGTGTTGACACAGCGGCAGCAGCAATGGGTTCAAATATAACAACGATTGTGAGAATGGCACAGAACTGGGCAGTATTTCATTCTGTTGTACATATTGTTGCTTTGAGTTGGAAGCAACTCAATGGCACCTAACAACAACAACCACAAAGAATGATGCTTGGATCTGGATCAGGATTGTATTGCATCTGTAGATCACTTTTGGGTAGTAGCAACATTTTTACAATGTTAGGTCTTCCTATCCATGAGCATGGTCTATTCTTCCATTTATGTAGGTTTCATTTGTTTTCTTGTAGTAGTGTTTTGTAGGTTTCTTTGTATAGGTCTTTTGTTTCTCTGGTTAGATTTACTCCAAAGTATTTAATCTTTTCAGTGGCAACTGTGAATGGTAATGTTTTCCTGATTTCCTTTGCAGAGTTCTCTTAGTTAATGTCAAAGAATACTATGATTTTTGTATGTTGGTCTTGTACCCTGTCATTTTGCTGAATCTTTCAGTTACTTCCAGTAATTTTCTTGTGGAGTCTTTGGAATTTTCTATGTACAAGATTATATTATCTGCAAATAGAGAGTTTTACTCTCTCTCTCTCTTTTTTTTTTTTTTTTCCCAATATGGATATCTTTGATTCCCCTTTCTTGCCTTATATCTCCAGCTAGGACTTCCAATACAATATTGAATAGAAGTGGTGATAAAGGGCATCCTTGTCTGGTTCTTATTTATAAGGGAATGCTTTCACTCTTGCTCTCTATTAAGAATAATGTGGCACTGTAAGATAAGCACTGCAGTACTAACCATAGGTTAGTGGTTCAAACCCACCAGCCACTCCTCAGAAACCCTATATAAGGTCACTATGAATCATAGCTGACTCGACAGCACTTAACAACAGCAACAACATTGGTTTTATATT